ATTCGTGAAATGACCTCGCCGGAGGCGAAAGAAGGATTGGGCTACAGTTGTGAATGAGGATTTGTGTGAATAATTGGAGACGAAACAAACAGGCTTTACAAAAATTCACCGATTGTGAAGTCCGACGTGGAGCCATCGGGGTCTCGAGATATTGCGCCGAGGACTTAGTCGGACAACTACAAGACAATCCTCCTGCTGCCAATTTACTCATTCTTTCCATTCATCTCTTTAACTATTACCATTTTATTCGTCTGCTTAGACCGCATCATAAGAGCGCGTTCAATTGGAGGCGGAAATAAAAGAGAATTTATGTGAGAAGCACAATTTGGAAAGAAATTTTACCATTTACTTTGTTTTATCCTAGTTACGACCAGTCGAATCCAGGGGCATAAATGAGGAATATGTATACAAGTTTTAATGGAGCATCAATACACACGAACATTCTTGCCGACGTTGTGACACATACGATCAACGCTCGGAGACTATAATAGACATACAGTAAATCTAGTCATGAGATCTACGAATTTAGTGATGTAGCACAACTTAATTCCCAGCATCGTCTGGTTCAGTAAGAAATCCCGGTGTCAAAACGCTTGCTACGATGTAGGGAAGAGAACCGTCATTTGGTAGAATGACGAAGATCCGAGAGGAAATTCGCAAACTAATGAATTGAACGACCGTCTTCACATTACCGTTAGAAAAGGAGAGTAAGTCCAATCTGTCGGGTTCATTGGTCGGCCATTAAAAAGCCAAAAACATTGAAGGAAACCCCCAATTGCGGGTGCCTCGCCGCCCCTCTCGAGGTAGCCATTTTGTGGATGGAACACCTTTTGTTGCCAGGGCCACTGATGGGTTGCGTTCTACAAGGTGTGAAAAACTTGGGAAACGCCGACCCGCAGCTCCCATCCCACAACACATCTCCAATTGGTCAGTGGCAAGTTCGACAAAGTACCAGGACTGACGACCCAATCGGCTCCGATACCATCAGTATCCGACGCATTGAACCAGAGTCGGCCAGGGCAGCTCAGCTCAGCTCAGCGCAACGGAGGAGCGACAGTGGGTTTCCCCGTCTCGAGATAGAATAAAGTAGAAGATACCGTTGCTATTCGCCAACACTCGCATTTAGCACGTGGGAACGAAGAGACGAGGAATTTTGCCATTCAAGCACACCCGCAAGGAAACAAGCATATACAGCCAACACAAGCATACACACACAGACATGCTTAAAGATTTCATACACGCACATGAGAAACGGATTTCATACACACGCATACGCTTGAGCACATATTCCATACACATACACACACACACAAGCCAGGCCAGGCCAGGCGCAAGGCCAAAATGGCCGCCAAGAGCCAGACCAAAATGGCCGCCAGGAGCCAGACCGAAATGGCCGCCAGGAGCCAGACCGAAATCGCCGCCAAGAGCCAGACCAAAATGGCCGCCAGGAGCCAGACCGAAATCGCCGCCAGAAGGAGGCTTAAAAAGCGCGCCAAAAGTGGGGAGCGCAGCCCGTGACCAAACGTGGTCGTCAGAGGTCAAGTAGAGTCGGTGGACCTCGGACGATGCCCGACGCTGATTGGCTGATTCAGCTGCATTGGTGTTCGGTAGGGCAATCAGGGTGTCTGGACTTGACAGATCAGCCACTCGTTGGCCCTCTCGTAGCAACGTTCGCGGCCTCGGGTTGTGTCATTTGTGCGAGCCGCCCGGGCAAAAGTCGATAAAACCGAGTTGTTTCGCTTCACCTCGTCTGAATCCAGCCCAAGGGCTAAGCAAATCATCTCCCATAAACCAATGGGAGTTGAGAAGGCCGTCGGCGTGTCTGTCAAAGCAAATTGTCCATCAAAGTCAACCGACCGAGAGATACCAGGACAGACAGACCAATCACAAGCTGGCAAACTGGCTGTGGATGTAGGATCTCAGTCTGTTTTCAGCCGTCGCGTCATTGTTCACATTTCCTCATCTCTTTTCCATCATGTGCCGGGAAGTCTCGAGCGCCATCCTCCTCGTCTTTAACTTCCTCTTTTCCGTGAGTTTCCATTTTGCTGCTATTCGTATTGCTCTTTCTCATGCTAACCCTCGGCCAACAATTCCCAGTTCACGCCGATCACCATAACACAGCCTCGGCCGAATTTCCACCATCCCTAATCTTCTCTCTTCGACTTTGCTCCCTCGATTTCACTCCAGTTGATCGGACTAGCCCTAACCTTGTTCGGAGGGGTCATCAAATGGGGCCGAGACTACCTCCTCGACAAGATGATGGCTGACCAGACGGATTCTATGCAGGAGCTCAAGTCATCCATAAAGAGCGTCATCGAGTACGCCGGTGCGTAAAAATTATTCTTTGATCTTTTGATCTTTTGATCATTTTTCATTCTACCACTTCATGTCAACTACTCAAATGTCTCCCCCAGTCCTTTCTGTGCCTCAAGCCGCTTGGGGCGAGCGGCTTTAGTCAACTCTTGCCCGACATCTGATCCGCTCGGACGCGATCCCCACTGGGCACTCGTGGTAGCGCTCCTGCGGTTTACTTGACTCGCCCACCGGTTGCGTCTTTCCTTCGCCAGACGACGTCGGCCCCATGATTCACACTTTCGGCTTCCTCGATCCGTTTTGCAGATAAGCGCAATGCATTTGCTTAAGCTTGCGTCCAAATGGAGACTTAACTGTGATGGAAACCCTCGGAGAATTCTAACTGACAGGTTGTGGTACTCATGGGACACCGAGTAAACTGGCCTAAGCGCTTGACAGGGCTCGCATTGTACAAGCAAACGAAAGATTTGTCAAGACCGTAAATATCTTTCGATAGGCCGGACCTGAGTAGGATTAATGAGTGTATGTGTCATGAGCACCATTTGCGGCTGTTGCGTAGGATTGGGAGTGAAGGGGAGAGAATAAGGGCCGGGAAAGAATGACTGGCTGGCCCCCTGTTTTTTGTTTGTTTCTCCGCCTCGTTCTACTCACGACACGCAGACGGAAGACTATTTAGCAGATATGTACAAGACGGATCCTTGAAGAATCCTCGAATACATTCATGTCGTCTCGTTTGAAGAGGCGAATGGAGGCAATTCGCAAGTTGGCTTCACCAGCAGCCTAAATGGGCATCGTTTTCGGACTCGATTTGTACCAACTATTCCTCTGCTCATTGTCTTGTAACCACGATGGATCGTTACTTAGCTATCCTATTTGTAACATCGTCAGGGCAGGACGTGATTTAACATTATTCACCAAGCACAACGTTCGACGGGGATCATCACCTAAATCGCCTAAATCTAGTATATCTAAGACTACCCCTCCAACTTTGGGCGAAGTCGACGTACGAATCTTTTCCACCCGCTCATTTTAGACGAAATGAAAGTTGTTCCTACATTACAGATGACCCATTTTTCCAGACTACCGAGAAATGTACAGTCATCCAACATTTCGGTGTTCATCACTAGCTTAAGACTAAGAAGGCGCCCTATTCGGTTTTTGTAATTATGTTCGCTTCTTTTGTGTACTTTTTAATTACAAACAATACCTAATATGAATGTTGTGAACCTCTGGGTTTGTTTACGTTTATAATTCAAGCTAACGTCAGGAGTCCATTGTACTCGTGTTAATTTAAAGAGTCGGACTGGGCGTGGTACACTCCCAGGCGTTTCGCCGGCATCTTCAATCCACCTTGCCGCTCTTAGCACCACACTACAACCCATCCAAGACAATTGAAGTCGATCCTTTGACTAAACAATCGTGTTATATCCTTCAATATCACAGATTTTACTTGCTTATTTAAATGTGCTATAGCGTGCCCTCTTGAATGGTTCTCATGCCAACTCCCCATACCCCACACTGGCTTTCTTACCCCCCTTCATCCTTGTGCCGCGAATGTCGATTAGACTCTGTCATATTGTTATGCAGTCTTTCTTCCCTAGCTCTTATCAGCTTCCCTCTTGTAGGATCCGTCCTGTAGGATCAGTCTGCTATCCCACTGGTTTAAGTATTTCACTCGACCCACGCCACCCCATCTTTGCCCCACTGTGCGTTATGTCCCACACTGCCTCTGGGCGACCACAAATGTTGTGGTTCAACATTTAACCTAATCAAAGTAAGCAGTACCACAACATTTGTGGGTGGGCACACAAGTCATAGACTTGGTATTAGGAATAGAAACAGAATAGACGCGTCGGAGACTGGAGCTAGTTGGCTTATAGTAGGTCCATGTAGAAAAGGCTTGACCATGACAATGACTCGGAGGCTTTAGCCTCGAGTTGCACAGATTGGGTGGCAGAGGTTGAGTGAAATACTTGAGCCAAGGAGATAGCAGACGGGCCCTACGCGGGGCGAGAGAGAGAGACTGATATAACCTAGGGCAGGGGAACAGCGTAACGCTTCCAGCATAAGGATCAAGGGAGTGAGAGGGGCTGAGAAAGCCAGCCTGGAGTTTGGAGAGTTCTCGTGAAAGCCTCTCAAAAGGGCACCATACCACATTTAAATAAGTAATACAAAATTGTGATAGTGAAATGGCATGCGAGGATATGGGATTGGGGCTTAGCCCAGGGCGGAAGGAGAGTACACAGACGATTGGTCAAAGGATCGACTTCAATTGCCTCTGACGCATCGTATTCTAGTGCTAAGACCGGCACGGCGCACTGGCAATGCCCGCGAAACGTCTTGAAATGTACCAGTTCACGGTCCGACTCTTGAAATCTAACATGCACACAATGCGATCCGGGCTAGGTGTGCTGATCGAGTTGGGGGAACAAGATCAAATAACTGCTATAAAACGCTATGAAATTCCTTTATCCTATAAGGCAAAAACCAGGTCAGATCAACCAGCGCGTGACACTTAGTTGGGACTTCTTTAAATTGCAAATGGTCATGCGTTATGCTACAGCAACAGCTTGAGTATTATAGGAAGACGAATTATTTGGCAACCCCAGGTCTGGGCCTAGGTAAACCTACGAAGAAAAGTTGTGTTTCGAGGAATCTCTTGTTTCATAATTGTTGAGCTTATTTCCATTTTGAGTAGGAGTGTTGGGTGAAAAGATTCGAAGGTCGGTTCCA